TAGATCAGTGCCATCATTGCACAAAGTGACACTTCCTGTTTGTTCTTAATGGATTCCAGTAGCCGAATACCTTCTTGGACATCACCTAGTGATAACAAGAGTGAAATAAGCTGCAAAGTCTTTGAGAGGACAGAGAAGATCAGTGTAAAAAACTCCTGACTCCATTTTTATTTCTGCGCTTTTCCCAACTCTTTTTACATATTTTTCCTTATCAATGATGTCAATTTTCAGCTGTTTGTGCAAACTCTCCAAACAAACACAAGGAACAAAAAAGAACATTTCAGTACAGAGAACTTGAAAGAAGTTATGTGTTAGGCCAGCCTGAAATATGGCTTCTGCTAACCAACCTTGTAAAAGCACCCAACTGGTACCAGCCCACAGCTCCCCAGGTGCAGATGGGTACAATGTTAGGCACAGATGCACTGAAACCAACCAGTTCTTGTGACACAAAGCACCGGCCACACCGTTAGATTCCAGATTCCCTCCAAAGAAGCTATTTGCCTGACTGATACCCACAAAGTTACTGAGAAACACGGAACCACATCACTCCTCTCTCCCGCACCGCGTGCCTCATAGCTGCCTCACCGGAACATGCGGGTGGGAGGACTCATTAAGTACCGCACGTACGCGGCTCACTGAGCGCGAGCGGTCTCACAAACACCGCGGAGCACCCAAGGCCCAAGCGTCGCCACAGCCTCCAGCGGCACTCCTCGTTACCTGTGCGCAGCGCACCGTACGCCCGGTAGAAGTGGAACACCGGGTCGCTGCCCAGCCGGCCCAGCGCCTCCTCCGCCGCGGCCCGGACATGGTGAAAGTAGCACTCCTGGCAGTAGTAGTTGAGCAGGGCCTGCGAGAGAAGCGAACCCGATTCGCTCCCGCAAACGCACCCGCGACCGCCCCGTTTGGCGCTACCCGACGCGCGTCCCCACTGCCCTCAGCGCCTTCCCCCCCCCAGCACCGTGGCACGCACCTGCTGCACCGCCGCGTCCATCGCCTCCGCCGTTGCTAGCCAACGCCACCAGGGAGAGGCCGCCGGAAGGGGCGGGGAAGAGCCCAGCGGCACGCTGCCATTGGCTGTCTGGCAAGAGCGCGCCCTACCATTGACTCCAAGAGAAAGGAGGCGGGAGAGACACAGGAAGGAAAACTGCAAGCGCCGGAACGAGTCGGACGCTCAGGGGAGGGGGGCGGGAACAACTTCACGGGAGACCGGGTTTGAACAAGCCCTCGTGGGGGGTCTGTAACGGCCGCGCCGCGCCCGGCTCTTGCTGAAGCGCGTCAGGGTCCGCGGGGTGTTGGTGCACGTAGTGCCGTCCTGGCGGCTGCATCAGCCGCTCGGCCGTGCCCTGCGGGCGCAGCCTCCTCCAGCCTGCCTCCCGGAGGCTCCCGTGCCGGTGAACTCGGAATTCTGAATGGCTGGCTGTGACATTTGTTCCGACGTAAGACTGCCTCATGCTCCCGTTACGTTGTTATATACCACAATATTGAGCACTTTAGGCTCTGTAAAGCTCTCCAGCAATGAAATAGCAATGTAATAAAATCAAAGACAGAAAGTTCTCTCTCTTTTTTTCCCCATTTCTTCCGTTCAAGTGAATTAGAGTTAGAAGAGTTTAGTAAAAATCAGGTTTTCCATTTGGACTGAAGGCGCTGTCCTTTGTGTCCAGGCATCAGAAACAATTCTTGCTGAATGGCTTTGCTTTAGGAGGGACGTGCTGTCTCTCCAACACGTAAGCAAAGCATTCTCTAGAAGATTCAACAGTAAAGACATTTAATAAAAGGAGCAAACCAGTCGTAGAATCAGAGAATGCAATCAAAGAATCACTAAGGTTGGAAAAGACCACTAAGTTCATTTTGTCCATCGCCAACCCATCTCACCGTGCCCACTAACCACGTCCCTCAGTGCCACATCCCTGTGGTTCTTTAACACCTCCAGGGACAGTGAGCCCTCTACTTCTCTGGGCAACCCATTTCAACACCTCATCACTCTTTTTGAGAAGAAATTTTTCCTAATATCCAACCTGAGCCTCCTCCTGGTGCAAATTAAGGATTTTATTACCTCTTATCCAGTCACTGTTACTTGGGAGGAGAGGCTGACCCCCACCTTGCTACAACCTCCTTTGAGGCAGTTCAGAGAGAGATAAGGTGAGTCTCCTCCTCCCCTAACTGAACAATTTTGACCAATATCATCAGATTCTTTTCCTCCGCACAGCTCTCCAGCCACTTTGCCCCAAGCCTGTAGCAACGCATGAAGTAGGTATGACTAATTCAGTGTTGGACTGAATTAGTAGGTGAAGCTAATTTTCTGAGCTGAGACTGCTTTGCATAAGCTTTTCTAATGAATCCAGCACATATGGCTCTACCCCATCACTCACTCCTTATAAAGTCCTAAGTTGCTAAGGAGGTATTATGTAAGAATAATTTTTTTCCTCGTCCAGGATGATCCTTCAAAAAAATCTAAAAAATTTCAAGGTACTCTACCTGTACTGAAGCAACATTTCAGCTTCTTTGACATTGAAAACCTGAAATAGGTAGGAGAAACAATTATTTTTGTTTTCCTATTACCTGTAAACTGAAATGATAGTGACATAATTCTCATCTGTCTCTTTGAGAAAAGCAAAGTTTTAAAACCTGTAGGTAGAATATTAAATAATATTCAGTTTACTACCTGTGAGCCTCCTATAGGACACATTCAGGACAGCTGTAATACTTGTCTGTTGAGGACTCCCATGCAGGAAGTGGCTCATGGAGTTACTCTGTGCAGTACTGTAGAAACACAGAATCATCATGCTCAGTATTTAACATGCATTAATTATAAATGTTAAAAAGCATACTGTTTTTAAACTAATGTCAGATAATAACGACAAAAGGAGCATACAATAAAAAATGTAATCTTTATTATTTCGGCACATTAATAATGTTATTTAGCTTCACTTAGGGTAATAGTAGCATTTTCCTGCATGCAGTTCACTAATATAGTATTTGCCAGTAACTTTAATAAAAGTAATCTATATTTAATTTTCCTGTGTAAGAAACATAAAATGTCCTGATGTGTTTGATTATATGGTTTTGCTACTTTCTCTTTGTGAAAAAAATATTGTGGACCCATTATAACATTTAGAACTGCACTATGAATAATTTTTTAAAAAGTGTGTGAGATATGAGAAAAAAACTAAGGATTCTGCGAAAGGAAGAATGTATTTGAATTTGAAAATTTGTTATGCAGGCACTGCTTAAACATTCAATTAACACTTTACATCTTTTTCCAACTTAAAAAAAAAAAAAAACAACCAAATAACTAGAGTTTTAGAAGCAAATTATGAACTTATTTTGCATAAAGAATTGACATGTTTGCAAATGCAGTAAAAAATAAGACCTACAGCTATCTGTTCTCTTAGTCATATCATGTTCTCTGGAGTACTTCTGCGAAAAAGTGCTGCAGACAGAAAGTAAAAAGAAATGGTGTGGAGTCAACCTGAAGATAAAATTCAGTTCTTGTTGTATGTACATAATGCTGAAAAAGAAAATAAAATGATTTTTACAGTATTTATATTTGCTTATAAAATTCTAACATTATTTTCAACAGGTCTAGTAGTTTTCAACGTCTGTACAGTTTGGATATACACTATATGCTTTTCACTGAAAATTCAAAAATGTAAATCAAATGAGTTCCTAAATAGCTGCAAAATATTGCTTAATGGTATGGAAGAATGAGGTCTTGTTGAATAGTTTACTTCATTTAGCTCTGATGTATGGCTTCCCTTTTTTAAGAATCCTGGACAATCAAAGGAACAGAGGCATAGGCAATATAAACATGCATTGCTAGCATCCAAACTATCTATACTGGTAGATAATACATAATTTTACCTGTTGAAAGCTTGCACATTACACTTATTGTGGTACATATTTGATGCAATAAATGTGCTCAGGTCGTTATCTGTTTGCTCAAACATGCACCACAGGTTAAAAATTACTATTTACATAGCAGAGGGCTTTTCATTAACATACAACATCAACCTTACCAAGAGCTGAAGGTGGCTAAACAATACTGCAGGATAAAGCAGAACAGCATTATTAAGGGCTCTTTCTGATCAATTTGGCAGTTTGGGCAGGTTCATTTAGTGTTTTTATGCAGAAAGACGTTTGATAAAGACAGAATCTGTGACTCCAGACCCAGAAAGAAATCTGTACTTTCTGAAATTTAATTGTCTGTGCAAAATAAATAAGTAAATAAATAAATAAATAAACAAATATCTGCTTTTACTGTTCTTGTGAGTTACAGGGGACTTTACAGGCATACCAAGACTGGTTCGGACGCGATACAACATGAATACATTAATTAAGCACCTCAGAATTTATTATTCCTTTCCAGAAACACTGAGCTAAAATCAGTTATTCTTTGTGACTTAATGTTATTTTCATGCATGATCTATAAGTGCAGCATGCCTTCATGCAAATCATTTCTGTGTGTATATTAGTCGCATAGTAGAACACCTGGCTCTTATACCTGTAAAGTAGTGCTGGACCCCCTCTCCCAACAGAAGACCCATTTACAAAAATAGTTACATGTAACAAACAACATATGAATTAAAAAAAGATGAATCCACCAACACAGATCTGTAAAAATATGATGTATATGGCAGTTGAAATGCAAACAGTGGGTACAGTTATTGTATTGTTTTACGCTAAACACACAACTAGAACTTGGTTTGCACCCCTTAGCTGGTCCCTACAGCCTGAGTAGCCATTTTTTCTCTCCTCTTCAGCAGTGTCAGCTGGTAGTGAGAACAGTTAAATCTTGTCAAGGTTGTTTCCCCATGTCACAATCACAGTTACTGACGAGGGGTTGCTGTCTTTTAATAGGCACTGACCTTTAATGTATAGTATGTTTGTAAAAATTGTCAGTTTGGCATAGACCTCCAGCAGGAGTCCTGTTGACACAAACACATGACCTTTGCAGGCTATGAACTACTTTGCACATAGATGATTTTGCTTGCTATTTATTTTTATTTCTGTACACCTTTATCTTCCTTTTCGTGCTTTTCTTTGACTGCCCTTGTTACACGATCATAAGAAGGTGGACAAACTGCTGTTGATGCAGTTATATCAGTCTTCTCTGTAAATGAGTTTTCATTTAACTTGTCCAAAAGGATTTCATCTTTAATGCCCAGACCAGCCCCCCCTTCAGTTTTGTTTTTGTTATAGATAAAGGAGGCTTGTTTTACTGTTCGTTTTAATAGGTGGCGTCTAAAAGCACGTTGAATAATGACAGCAGATACTTCTTCTTGTTTTCTTTTTAACGTTGTTGTGATTGGTTCATAAGAAGCTTTAGAAGGGTTTGATGCCATAAATCGGTCTTCCATCTGTATCCTGAGGGCATCCATCTCCCCACTTTCCCCTAACACACGCTTTGTGAAAGCAAACAGGATGTCAAGGCAGTGAATTCTGTCACCGCTTACCATGGGCAGATCCATTGCAATCAGCTGGACCTTGTTTGGTTTGGGAAGGTGAAGAGGAGGCTCAAGAGCTGCTGCAAAATCAGACAATTTCTCAAATTCCATGAATTGCGTTGCATCTGGATCAAACTTCTCCCAGACTTCATAGAACATCTCAAAGTCATCCTCACTCAAGGGCTCGGCACTTTCTTCAGTTGCAACACCAAAATTCTCCAGAATGACAGCAATGTACATGTTCACCACCACCAGAAAGGATATGATGATGTAGCTGACAAAGAAGAAAATCCCAACCGAAGGGTTGCCACAGTCGCCTTTAACAGAGCTCCCTGGGTGAGCTTTGTTAGGATCACAGTCCGGCTCCCCACTGTTAAGAATCGGGGCTAACAAGCCATCCCAGCCAGCAGATGTGGTAATTTGAAATAGGCAGATCATGCTGTTGCCAAATGTTTCAAAGTTGAACATGTCATCAATTCCAGCTTCCCTCTTAACGTAGGCAAAGTTGGACATGCCAAATATGGCATAGATAAACATGACCAAGAAGAGCAGCAGGCCAATGTTGAACAAAGCAGGAAGAGACATCATCAGAGCAAAAAGCAGAGTGCGGATTCCCTTTGCGCCTTTAATGAGACGCAGGATGCGACCTATTCTGGCAAGTCGGATGACTCGGAACAAAGTAGGGGACACAAAATATTTCTCAATCATCTCAGCTAAAAACATACCTATAATAGGAGGAAAAATAAACAAAGATATATTACCACACTCTCCATATTATAGTGACAATTTAGAAAAAAATAGTTTTAAAATTGATGTTCTATATAGCAACTAAAAATATTCTGTAGATTGCACCTGCATAATTGCTTTCTACCAGGTATAGTTAATATTTACAAGTGCAATGTATTTTGAATGATTACAACAAAAACGATGATTAGGTAAATTTTTAAATAAAATGAGAACATGCAAGACTTAGTTAGAAGCCTTGGAATAGCAAGAGCCAGCCATATAGTACTACTGAGTAAAAGTTCAACTTATATTCATTTTACCCTCTTTATAGGTCAATAAATGAGACTTACCTACTATTGAGAGAATGACAACGACAAAATCAAAAATATTCCAGCCTATAGTGAAATAATAATGGCGGAGTGAAATTAATTTCAGGACACATTCTCCAGTGAAAAGGACAATGAACACCAAGTTTATCCAGTATAAAATATTTTCCATTTCTTTACTCTGGTCATCAGTTTCTACCATCATGGTGACCATGTTAAGACAGATAAGAATCATGATACTAATGTCGAATACTTGCTGTGTCACAAAATCAAAGACCATGCCTTGAAACTTGTTCTGAGAAGGAAAAAAAGAAGCAAAACATCCATTACAGATTGTAATAATTTTTTTCTTTTCCTATTAGAAGAAAGCAGAAAAATATATGTAGTAAAACCAGTAAGGTTTCCATAAAAACATATCTAGGAAATGTAAATAGATTAATCAAAGTGAATACAGCAGATTAGTTCAGTCTGTTTGTTAGTTTTTCTGTGTGTTTTGTATGCTACCTGGCATAATCATAACATGCTGGATTTTGAATTCATCATTATCTCTTTTTCCATGCAAGCTTTTGCCTCATACACTTTCTGTTCTGTGAAATGAATAAAATTGAGAGCTTATAGAAAAACAGAGTAAGATTGTGTGATTAAAGGCAGTCCTTTAAGCATAGCCATGAAAATGCTTTTGTGGAAATCATGTAATCAGTTTCTCTTCTGTATTACAACTTTGGAGTGTTTGACTTCACTATATTTGCATTCCTTTTAAAATGATCTCAAGTAATTGAATGGGAAATCATGAAGCTTTGACCAAACAACTAATCGTTGCTTTTTATTCTGAAAATTTTTTGAAATTTTCAGGAAACATAACACAGCAAATCCAGGAAATGGAAAAAAAATCACCAAATAGTTTCTAAGTATAAGGATTTTATAATGTATTATGACTGATAAATGATAAACCAAGAGAATGGCAGGTAACTTCAAACACAGTTATTGAAAGGAGATATGTTGCTTATAGTTTGCTGAGCAGCATACGCATTTTCCATTTTTGCTGACTCATAAATCAGTTAATGATAATTAACTGATAATAAATTAGTCTCTCTTCATACTGATAAAAAAATGAGCTCTACTTAAAAAGCTATTAGCCTGATGTATAGAAATAATTTTACCCCTGGTCTTGGTATAGGCTTTTGTGGTTTTTTGGATCCCAACTTCTTCATTGCATTGTAGTATTTCTTCTGCTCTTCTGTCATAAATATGTCTTGACCTCCAAAGTAAAAACATGAAATCAAAGCTGGTTACAATCAGATTTATATGCAGTGTTGAAAAAGCTTTTAAAGTGAAATGTGATTAACATATTTATTTATAATATATGTGTCACTGTGATTGTCTTGTTAAAATGCACCAAATACTCCAGGAGAAATGACAGTAGATTCAGTGAGAAAACTGATGTTTGTTACCTTACACTATTCTCTGCTTTGTTCCATGTGAAATTATAACATCGTCAGAGAATTCAGAGGTTGTTAGGCAGCATGGATATCTTCTAGAATCAGCACAGATTACTGGCATTTTTATGTTAGTCAACAGAAAGTTAAAAGAGAATGGAATGGCCAGCTTCAATAGCTTGAGAAAACTAACTTCCATACCAAGCAACACTTGGTGAAGCAGCAATCAGACAAAAGTTTCTGAGAATTATTATTATTATTATTATTATTATTGTTATTATTATTATTATTGATGAAAAATGGTAAGGAGAATTTGTGCTAGTAAACATTGTGCATGCAAGATTGTTTCTTTTCCCAGAAAATTCATTGAAATGGCACAAATATTTTCAAAGACAGATGATGTTCATTAGTGTTCTAGGACTGCCCATCTTGTTAAATCAGTGTAAAGATAAAGTTCACGTTATTTCACTTATTGTAGTTACGTATATGGTAGAGCTGATATGCAAATGATCCAAAAGATCATTCTTTCTTCTGCAGAAAAAAAAGATAGCCTTTGAATTCATGTGATAAATAGTAAGTGTATAGTCAACTTGAATCCTAACTGATTCTATAGATCTTGTATTGGCTGAGTTTCTCCTCATCATGTGGAAATACTGCAGATTAGTAATATGAAAGGTACGAGCGATAAGTACCTATAATTTATGGAACTCACAGAAAATGTTGTCTAGGTCCTGTTGTTTGACATAAAACTAACCTTAATATGTTCACAGAGTTAACACCTTAAGAGAGGTAAATATAAAAAATATTATGAACACTAGCTACATATTAATTTTAAATGAAACCTGGAAGAAACCTGGAAGACAGAATATTTTGATATGGACAGGAATTTCCTGAAAATCATAAAGACTGAATAGAGGAAGATCTCTTAGTTATCAAATCTCAGTGTCTGCAATATAAGCATTTATTTGATAAATTGGTTTTAAAGATAAGCAGCTGATACTCAGACCATTCATGTCAGTGAGATTCATAGCTGCACGATGAAAGTAAAAGCAGTCATCTTTGTAACCTACAATGGCTACAAATCACTATTCGATTCAGTGCTACAGAATAGAATTTGGGAGAGTCATCGAATACTATGATCATTAAAACAGCGTTTGTAGGAGACCAACGGTGTAATGCTTTATTTATCATAATCAAGTAACTTTTTGTGCTGATAAAATCACTACAAATAACAAAAAAGAAAATGAAGAGTGCTTTAATGTACAGGTGTATGTAAGGGAATTGATTCTGCAACAATATTTTATTAGTTTATGCATGAAAAAGCAGATGATTTGAGGAAGATTAAACTGAACATTGAAAACAGAAAGGAGAAAGGTGTGTACTGTACAGTACAGTGTAAAATCTTATGAAGTTAACGAATGCAACATCTGGGTAAGATTTTATATTACGGTATTCTTCAGCTTTTCAGTTTTGATACATTCCATATATCATGGACTTATAGGAAGGCACTATTTTGCAGTATCTTTAGAAGAGGAATGAAAAGATACTTATCTTCTTTTTCTGCTGATTGAAGTTATCAATGATGACACCAATGAACAGATTCAGGGTGAAAAAAGACCCAAAAATGATAAAGATGACAAAATATAAATACATGTACAAGTTGTCTTCATACTTGGGTTGCTGTAACACCTGAGGAAAAAATATGAAATGTCGTTCTTAAGATTTCATATGAAAATTTCAACTGAATAAGCAGCAGTCTTGGACAAAATATCTTGTATTCCCTTGTCACTCACATCAATACATTTTTGTCCATTCCATCTATTACTGTCAGCATCATATTTGTGTTCATATTTGATACAACAATTTGCCACAGCAGAATGTCATATTAGCTCATTTGATTCTGTTTCATCCTCCTGTATGCATATTATTCACTTTTGGAAGATATATAAATATGCATTTGTTGATAGACATGCATCAAGGATAAAATGTACTTATACTAATGTATAATACTACTATACTAATGTACTAATATTTTCAGTACTTACGTCTCTTGAGTCAATAGCTGCATACATAATATCCATCCAGCCTTTAAATGTAGCCTGTAAACAGTACACACCTATTTAAGAATATAACTTTAAGACAATTCATATAACCATTTCCAGCAACTGAATACGACACCAGGCATTATTACTATAACATACATAAGATTTATCCACAATTTTGGCTTTCTTTAGAGTTGCTTGTAAGATGCACTGTTGAGTACCCCGTTTGTCTCCGTATAAGCATATTAAGCAGAATATGTAATGAACTTATTTCTAATTATTTATCACAAGAATGCAGTGTCATTTTAGTAGGTTAAATGCTTATCAAAGCCATATCAGTGACTTTGTAACTCAGTTGCCACCAGTGACTACTATGTCATCACAAGGGATGACATCAAGGGAACCGAAGATTTGATTAGGTCAGAAAAGATAAACACTGTAGTATCAAGGAGAATTTTGATTTGTATCTAAAATATATTATATTGTATATAAAAGATTTTACCTGATTTAGTGATTCTATATTCATTCTAAATGCATCATGTTTTACAGAGGCTATAACCCTGAACTATGTTTTAGGATGATCTTGTAAAAACAGAATTTACTTTATGTGCTTCAGATATTAAATTAGTGAACTTTTACAGCTATTGACTCTAATCCGTATGTGTAAAATTCTGTTTGACAACGAGGTGCAGATTGCCTCATCTGCACGTTAGAAAGACAAACTCATTTTCTCTATTGTAGCAATTAGTTACTCTTTTGAAACAGTCATGGACTAGGCAGCATTTCCAAATAGCAATCATTCAGTCACAGACAGAATAAAACCAACAACTGAGAGTGTTCTTGGTCATTTAATCCTCATTACAATTTTACTGAACAAGGCTGTAGATCTTAGGTTCATTCATATTCCTTGTCATAGAGATTAGTCACAGAAACAAGTCAGGATGGGAACATTCTTTATCTATGGTTATTGCTATACTCCACAGCCTTATCAAAAATATTTATATGAGCACTTGTATTTATTGTTTCCAACATTTAAATCCTACTGTTGCCATTTAAAGCTATCGCTTGTCATAGCTGTTATAGATGTGGAGAACACAGTACCAATCATTCTTTTGTAATATTTCTTCGCAAACTGGTTTCTGCTGCCTTTTCTTTAGGCTAAATAATCTTCACATCTTCACTCTTCCTTCAATCATTCCACGCAGACCTCGTCCAAAACTCAAATCATTCTCATTATTTTATGCTCTCTTTCATCAGTTTATCTCTTGAAATGGTAGCCAAAACTGGACTCATTATTTCAGCTGAGATCTTGGCAGGTCTAAATAGGGCAGGATGCTTACTTCATATATGCCTTAAGGAGTTTACTTTTGTTTCTCTCTGGTTATATTATTTGTATTTTTTTGAAAGTCATGACTGTGGTTGTAGTCAGACGTCAAACACTAAATGCAAGTAATAAGTAATAAGATGTAATATTTTATATCTGAAGGATGATATAAATGAAAGAGCGGCTCTTTGGTGAGGTGCACGCCATTGTCTCTGGTTCATACATATGATGGTCATTGCGTATCATCTTTCAGACAAACCAAAAGTTTTTTTTTGTAAATTTGTAAGTATATCCTAGACTAAACTAGAGTGAAAGGGAAAAAAAAGCCTAATATTAAACTGTTATGTTTCATCGTCATCAGTAAGAGAGCATATTTCAAGTAGAGCTAGTAAGAAGATAGTAAGAACTATCACAACTTTTATATTATTATCATTACTAGTCAACACGAAAAGAGTGTGAAGATGGAAACATATAAAGATAACATTGCTTTCATGTATTTCAAAATGTCTGAAGTAAAATCTGTATTTGTCACAATCCAGTTTCACAAAACAATAAGATTTTATCAGTCTTGAAGAAGTGAAGGAACAGAAATCCCCAAACTTAATGAAATTTCAATAATAAAATGCACTGCCTCATCATAGTATTTGTTTTTCTTCTAGATCCATCCTGCAAATCATTAGGAAACAATCACTGTCATCATCATTATACAAAAACAGTTGTGAATTTAACTATTTAACTGTGGGGAAAAAAAAAAGATTGTGTAATTCCCAAAGCAGAAGCCTCATTTCAGGGAGAATTTCTATTTTCTAAATACGTAGCCTGAGCAATAGCAAATAATTGAACCAGAGATTCAGTATCAAAGCAGCAAATTTACTGAGTGTTATTCCTAATGCATTCAGTAGAAGCTTAGGCCCGGTTTTGCTAGGCTCAAATTTTCCACAACAGATCTTGCTTAAGGTATTATTTGTGCATTTGTGCATGCTGAACTAGAAAACACACAAATATGACAAAGAGATCAAAATCTGAGTTTCCTTTTAATATTTATACAAATATATTGTATACCCTCAGTGACACTTAATCAGAATTCACTGAGTTCAAAGATTACACTTGTTTTTCCTCAAGGAAATTTGAAAAACAAATTCAAATGTAGATTCAAAAGTAGCTAGAAAACAACAAAACAAAATTCTCCCAAGCTATTGTAGTTAGAAGTACATAAAATGATTCTCATGATGGATAATTTCCAATGAATTTGGAAGTAAAGCCAGAGTGGCAGCACTACATGTCTTTACCAGAAATAACAGAATAATGTGATACTGTGTTTTGAGACTAATTTGCCACATTTTATCCTGGATAAAAGCAGGTCTTCAGAAGATCTACTTACCAAATAATCCAAACACTGTTTGGATTAACTTAACTGGTTTAAGTTAAAAAGAAATAATACCATAAAATTTCCAAGACGGATAGATGCCACATCTCTTTGTGTACATCAGCCTGTTCCTCTTCACTTACTGATGTGTGAAAGTTGTGAAAGGAATTTCTTCAGCTTTTGCTCTGATGATTTTCTTAAGGGTCAGAAAAATACTCAAACAAATTTATATCAAAAAAGAAAAAAAATCTGAAGTTTTTCGGCACTGGGGCTTGGAGTTTGGGTTTGTTCTTGTTTGGATATATATATATATATATGTATAATTTGCATTAAAACAATATTTCCAATAGCATTCACTCAAGACAGAATACCTTACTGATGAAGAGAATAAAGCCTTCTATTATATTACCTGTAACACAGAAAAGCTGAGCTAATTTACATTGTTCTTCTTTGACTGGCTTACAAGGTCTGAGTCAGAGAACAGGATGAATAATGGAAAAAAGGCTGGATTGTAAGAGCTTTCTGTTGCTTCTAACCTTCTGTTGCAATAGAATCTTTCATCTGTAATTCATCTATTGATGCTTATCACTGATCTTATCATTAGAACAATGATATTCACCTCAATGAGGTAGTTTTCTTTGGTCCACCACAACCTAAACAAGTCTGTACTTGAGACTGCTAGAGGGGAGATATAAATGACTTCAGTAGACTTTTGAATTAATCTTGTTAAATAAAAAAAAAGCCATTAATGTTCACACTGGGTGCACAGAAAGCTTTTCCAGTAGCAACTATGATTTTATCAGATTTTTTTCAGTCTTTTTAACATTATTTTTGGCCAATTATCCAAGTTTCAATTGCTTTATCTTTGTTTCTGACATATTCACAGATACTTTTAAGTAATTCTTAGGGTTTACTCATTTTTACTATTAATACAAGCTGATTAAGGACGGTATGTAAATCAAGACATACCCATCTACTTCTCATGTTTCTTCTAAACACAACAGCCTTAGAATCCTTTACCAGTTCCTCATCCAAAGTACTTTAAATATTGAAGTGAAAACTTGTGAACATCTTCTTGAGAAACATTTATGAGTTATGGCCTTCATTCTGCTCTTAAGAGTAGAAAAAAACCCAGATTTTTCACATTTAAAGCATTAGCTGAAAATCAAGCTGATATTTGCTTTCTTTGCTCTAGTCTAGGGCGTGTATCATTCCATACATACAGAATCACTACGAGTGGCTTACTTATCAAACCCTAAAAGATGCAGTTTCAAGTATTTGTTTAATGGAATGACAAAAGTGTCTTTTTTTATCACTTTTTTTTTTTTTTTTTTTTTTTTTTCCGAACGTTGAACAAAAATCCTTCCACACATCTATATGCATCTTAGTAGTACAAAAAAAGTGAAAATATATGGTGATATATCTGGAATTCTACTCACACAAAAACAGCATCAACGCGGCAAGTATTTCATATCTATGCAGAATTTCTGTGTTGCAGATATTTTAAAACAACTGTCTTGCCCTCTCACGAAAGCCAGGACCCTCTTAATGATTATTTTTTCCTTTGGAAGCATGGGTACATTTGGAAATTTCACCCAACCTGCCTCCCAGAGCAATGCAATAATCCAAGAATATAAATTTTCATGTAAGAAATAAATTTTTCTGAGGAATAAAATATTCTCTGCTATTCAGTGGAAATGAAATAAGCTATACATAGCTGAGACTGGAATATATATGACATTGCGAAGTAGAGGGAAGGTGCAGACTAGGGCCATAAAACCAGGAAAAAAAGTACCTTATCTTATACCTGTCCCAGAATAAGCTAAGCTACTACTGAAAGAAGAGCTGCAAACGACTTGAAAGGAATTTTGCTGACATCCTTTCCAGCTGAATAATTTTAATTTAAAAAAATGTTTAATAAAGCATACTGATCCTCCCTCCACAGTGGAGATTCTAGCAATGGATTTCAAAAATCAGACACAGAAAACAATATTCACAGTCTTTCCACTGTAATCCAATTTTGTTATCAAAGTCAAACTGTATTCCTTTGTATATTTCTCAAATTCTGTTAGTCCCTCTCTGCTATTCCTGATATGACAGTAAATAATCTTAATGAATTTCAAATCATCAGTGTTATCAGAGTCATGGAACGAGATGCTCTGTTCAGTCAGAGAGGCAGTTACCAGTGCTCAGATTTCTTGTCTTAGAACCTGGGCAGGCCCATGTCAATGCCACTGCATCACGTAAATTAACAATCTGCATTAATAAGATTTCTTATGACAATACAAAAGTTAGAAACTTATTTTAAAACACTAAAAATGAAAATTAATTCTCAGAATTAGACCTCAAAGAGAGAGATTGCTCACTGTGCACAATTCAGGTGAAAGTCCTGCAATTTCTTGGCTGGGTCAGGTTGTAAGGTATTCCAGTGCACACAGGGATAGCTCATGTTTTGAGAACATAATTTTTGATAGTGAAGACATAAGCCTTTCTGCATACATTGTCCTGTGTGGACAGGAATAGCAGGGAAAATATTTCATAGACTATAACACCTACTGTTACTTTTCTTCTATTTCTCTTCTAGATAGAAATTGTTTCTTAGATCTTGTAACTGCAGTGGTTACATCACTGAGATGGCGTTTTCTACCTGGAATTCTTTTCTGTGACTTAATTACACTAATGCAGATTTCTTTTCAGCACTGAAAATAATCAGATAACTATATACCAGCCCTAGTACTTCTAGAAACATTCAGAGATAGAAAGGGAACTTGTTCTCTCTGATGTCCTAAAAGTTCTTCATTCTTCTAAGTAGACTTTGCTGATCAGTATGAAAGACTAATAAATTATCAGAGCAGTGGTATTAATAAATTACTAAGTTGTAGATAAAAGCGTGTATTCTGCTTTTGTTGCTAGAATTGCGTTTCACTATTACATAAAAACAATAAGAGTGATATAACAAAGAGTGATCACTTACTACTTGAAGCAAAGAAAGATACCCAAATCCTACATTATCAAAGTTTACTTTCACGTTTTTCCATCGGGCACTTTGATTGTTTTTTATGAGTTCCTCGCACTGACTAAAATTGTTGATTTGGTCGACTTCAAACCTTTCATCAGTTGTGGTGTTAACACAGTAGTAGAACTTCCCAGCAAACAGATTTACTCCCATGATGCTGAAAATTAGCCAGAATATAAGACAAACGAGAAGAACGTTCATGATGGATGGAATTGCTCCTAAAAGGGCATTCACAACCACCTAGTACACAAATACAGGGGGAAAAAGAAAAGAGTGTAAGAACATTTACAGCAATAAAGTTTTGTATACTGTTTTACCAATGCTTAATAAATGCTTGTTCAAAAACAAATACCATAAGTGTTAATGTAGTACATTAATAATTGTAACATTGCACTGGACTTTTAAATACTTAACATTAGTACATGTAATGAAAGGAAAATAAATGAGAAAATTAAAATAGTTATAAGAAAAAACAAAATAGAAGACTTGGTTGTAATAAGGTGAAGTCCAACACTGATATGTTCTATATAAAAGTAAATGTTAAATGTAAATAAGAAAATTTTTTAAAAGAGCATCAAAATGTAGCTTAAAAAAATGTCTAAACAAAAAAGGAAACCCTAAACATTATCAACATAACTTTGAAATTTAAGCTGAAAAAATAAATGCCATGAATCTAGAAACTAAGCTCTACTTTAAAAGGATTATGCAGGAATTATATACATATCTTTATTGCCTTATTATTCCATGCAAGAATATAACAAAGATTAATTTCTTTGTATAAAAAAGCAAGACAGTTTTGCAATATGTGTCTAATTGAATCAACAGAATTTATTTCAAGCTCCAGTCTTATTGTTTCATGTATTGAGTTTGTCGGTAACACCCTTCATTTATCTAAATATACACCAAGGACATATTTAAGGTTTTGATTTGGTATTTTAAATTGCTTTAGGCCAGTTGCCTGCTTAGGCTCTTGTAGGCAAGATATCAAATTATTTATATAGAAAAAAACATCTTTTTCTGATACATACAGTAAACAATCACATGTGTCTGTCAGAGCTAGAAAAACTCCTGCAATGTTTGTTTGGCTGAACAGCTAAGCAAACTATTCACCTTAAGTATCCAATACCAGATCTCATTTACTAAATGTATGTTATCTTAAATTTTATTTTTTACTCTGTAAAATTTTTTGGACCTTGTGAAAAGGTAAGGTAAAATGTACGGTTGGGATCTGATTCTCAGTAATCCAGTCCCTGGCACAAGAGAGAAAAGGATTGATGTGAATACTTGGGATTTGTTAAGGTGTCTTGGTCTATCTTTGTGCCCTGCTCTCCGCAACATGGAGGAGGCTTTCCTGCTACCAAGATCATTTTGAGCAAGCTCAGAGTTGCTCCATTTTACTACCTGTATTGCAAAGCCTCTTGAAGGCGTTTGGAAGTGAAGTATTGTGGCTGAGTTACTTATCACTCAATACCTTCCTCTTCCCAAAATTTATGGCCATTTTTACAGGCTTCCTCCATTAATAGATAGTGGAAATTGGAAATTTGTAAAGAATTATTGCTATCATATTTTCAAAATTTAGCTTTCATTGGCAGCTTCTGTGTTAGTGATAGCTTTGAAGGAAGTATTCTCATTTCATGAGATTTCTACTGCAGAAAATATAAAGTACCTATGTGATATAAACTATCCATTTTTAAGAAGACTAACAGGGTCTCAGTAACAGCCAGATTACAAGAACCCATTTTTAAAGGAGTGAGGGAACTATTGTTTTACTGGCCTGCAGGGAGAACAAATCTGTTGCGACTTGACAGAATTAAAAAAAAACGTAAAAATTAGTAATGCAATGATTTTGGAATTTATTCCAAGTCTGGCCTTTCCTATAACACTGTATTATAACACTGTATTAAAGTTCTGCTTGTATCTTTTTTATTTTCCTTCTTATAAAAATATGCTGGATGTGTTATGCTGATTGAATTTCACTGCTTAATCTTAGTAAAAAGCCTGAAAATAGAGATGTCAAGAAAGAACGATGGGAATTTATTCTGGCAAGTCAATTAAATGAAGGTTACCTGTGTTCAAAGCGAAGAATGGTGTTGCATGAATTGAGTGCCTGTAGCAGTTACCTTTTTAACAACCCTGAGATCCATTGGACCACAGCACAGATCCAGAACAGGCAGCAGAATATTAACAGCTACAATGATTGTTACAACAATTATGAATTGATCATAGTTGTAGAAAGATTTCTACAAAAGGACAGTGAAGTGTCTCACATCTTTAGATGAACAGATAATGCAGTCTTGCTGCTGTGACTGCCAAAAGATCAGCCTCTTGTTCTCAAATAAGAACTGAACAGCTTCCAGCAACTGTTCTCACAATGGTTCCAACAACGTATTTCATATAGGTCACTGAAAACCCATCAAATGGTAACAATTTCTGGTCACTACTGACCTGGCCTGGATGCGAACTGGTGACCTAGAGATGAAAGGCTCTGTATCCTATTAACAACCCCTTGAGCTATCCAGTCCCCCTGGAAGGTTTTTTAAGAAAAGAAGAAAACAAAATTAAAACTTTTACAAGTTGTTGTTGTTGTTTGTGTTTTGTTTTTTGTTGTTGCTCGATGGATTTTTGATTTTTTTTTTCCCCACCAGAGTTGAGTCTTTGTCCTTTAATATATATAATGTAGAACTGGATTTTTACATGCTGGTCAGATGCTGGGCTGACTGTGAATTTCACCTTGGAAAGAAGCCTTCAATTTCTTTGGTGTATGCAGTTGGAGGCAATTTCGCTTTTTCATTGTGGATTTTTTTTGTTTGTTTTTTTGTTGGTTTGTTTTGTTTTTGGTTTATTTCCTGTATTTTCTTTGGGACTAACTGAAGTATATTGGGATATGGTCTTTATTATCCTACATAATATATATCCAACATAGCAACCATAAATACACACACAACACCTGCACATGTAATTTTCAGCAAATGGACAGAAAAAAAGAGAACCAATAAAAAGTGAACTAAATGCAGAAGAGAGATCATTACATTTCTTAATTAGTTAAAAATCTAGCAAGTCAAAAATTGTGAGTCTCTTTGTTGGAAACAGTCCTTAGTAGGTTACCAGAATGTTGGTTACCAAAGCTCTTATTTTTACTCTTCAAATCTGGAACAGATCAATGTGATTCTAAGTGTCATTTTTTTTTAATGTTGAAAAATGCTTTTCTTTTGAGTCTATTTTCTATTAGTCCTTTATTTTATATATATATATATATATATATACACTATATATATATATATTTATATAATGGGAACTGTGCAGAGTAACAGCTTATCCCTGCTCTGGGAGTAAATTATAAGAGTATCTTTATATAAGTATTATTATACTTATAGTATTATTATATTATACTTATTATAAGTATTTTTATTAGATACAGCCTTGCTGTGGCACAATATCTCAAACACATGAGTCTCACAGACATAAATATTCTCACAGCAAAACGGCTTCAACAGATCCTGGCATGAGCAACCACAGGATTTCTAGGAACTTCTACATTCAACCTGGGTTTCCTGCAATCTGTAAACAAACCAGGAAAAGTTTTCAGTAGTACTTAACAATTTTATGCATAAAAATTGTAGGTTTTGTGAAGAAGTTCTAAACTCTTTGACCATGGTGCAAAGGAGGAGGAATTTACACTCTTTAGGATGAAGAAGAAAATTATAAGATTATGTCTGGAAAATTCTTCCTACTAAAAATGATGAAGTACTTTATTTACCTCCATTTTGGGAGCTACCAACATGTATTTTTAGATGTAGTTCCTCAAAGATTTGATGTGCTTGATCTCCTCTGAAGAAGCCCATCAAGGGCTACAGTGATTATTTAATTGTTACGTGTATACAGTCTTACATAAGATTTACATAAACAAGCACAGAAAGTTAAATAGATTTTACTTCACCAATACCTTCATGGATAAAATCAAATCTTTTGTGCATGCTTGACATATGGTCATAAGAAGTGTAAGACATATTCCATCCATACTCAGTCCCTTGATAGTTGGGAAAGCCTGAGGAAACTTCCAGGAACTCCAAGGAAGAAGAACAAGGAATAGGCTTACATGCATGTATCTAAAGGTTAAATAATTTCTTTCTTTTTAAGTGACTGTCTGTATAGTCACACAGCTACAGTCTTGAGGCAGAAAAGCCATTCATCTGTCAGCAGTACAAAGGCTGAAGAGAGGTATTGTCAACAGTGTATGTAGTATAAGCAACATCCAAGGAAAAAAGAGATTCATTCCTGACTCAAATTAAACACTGAACCAGATTTGAGCAGGATTTCAGAGTAAGATATGAACATTACTTTGTGCCAAACAAGCATGATATAAGAAGAAAATGAATCTCCTCCTCTCCTGGCCAAAGTACAGATGTACACAGATCTGGTGGAGAGAGAACTTGCAATGAAAGATGAAGAAGTGAGCAAGCAGACATTGGTTTAGATGCTTGGTCCACCATAGAGGTAAGATGACTGGAATGAATGGGCAGATATGCTGTGGGTAGGCAGGAATGGAAGCTCAGGTGATTTATATGATCTGAGTGTAAAATGTTCTTATAGTAAAGGACTTTGAGAACATCCAACAAGGAAGGTTAGAAGATGCTGAAACCACAGTGATTTGACCAGGAGGAGGCTATCAGTTGCTTTCTCTCTTGAATCATAAGGGAGTTTGAGCAAGGGAGGAAAATACCTAAGGAACACAGTAACTTTCCCAGTCAGGAGATCAAATAGGGATCTGAGAGAGACCATGAAGAAAGTCCATACCTGAATCAAAAAGATTAGCACTTCTTGATAGTCTGATAGTTATTGGAACAAGGCTTTGTCTTATTTTTAACTCCTTGCTCCTAGCATTCATGAACCAACAATTTAAAGTCGCCCTGTGCATCAGCTTTTTTATCTGAGTTACGGGAGCATAATGGTCTGCAATAGACTATCCAGCAGCTTGAAATCAATGCTGACTCTCCTTCACGTACTTCTAACTGATTGCTTTTTCACTGTCTTTGAATCTTCTATCATATGCATGTTCTGCATTTTCTACTTTACCTATCAAAGAACATATGCAGATGTTCCTATCAGACAAATCAGAAATATGAAACAGAAACTTTTCCATATGTAAATAATGGTGTTTTCCATAGGCTAGTGCTTACAAAAATAGATTGGTGCTCCGAATATGGCATCTGATCAGAAAATTCATGATGAGAACCAAACTG